TTTCATTTAGGTTTACTACGGAAAGTGAGTGACTCAATCGAGGTTCTAAGTCAAACCCTCAAACGACGACAAACCCAGTTCAGACAAAAGCAAAGGGATGGTAGGATTTTAGACGTCTGTGCGTAGGCCATGAACGTTCATAATAACTGCAATGCTGGTGTCCGGCATGTTTCTATGACCTACGTATTTTTAACACTAGCGATATGTTTATACATGGTACTACATCGTCGGTTTATTGAACGAGTAGCGTATACCGACGTGGTAAGGTGAATCTTAAACACCCTCTGCATGCTTTGTGGTCGCTTATTGGCCACCGTGTGTTTCCCTGCGATAACTGATTGGTGCAAAGCCAGGAGGCATGCCCTGCATGCTGCTGCTTTGACAGTACTCTGGTATGTTTGTCTGTTGTACTACCCGCGCCGACAAAATGCTTCCGATCTTACAAAATTCATAACATTTCAGTTCTAATATTGATAATAAGAAACTTCAAGGCAGAAGACCTTACAGTGAGATGACTATCAGCCATAGAAACGGCACTGAACAAAACCCATTCTTTTAAGTCGACGTTTTGAACAACACCACAGATCCCATCATCAGATACAAAGAGGGCGAGTCTTAAATGTTTTCTGTGATAAACAACCTATCATAGTACATACACGAAAATGAACATTAAAGCCATTGTCTTGTGACCGCGTTTTTTTATGAAACAACGGGTTTAACGTTCTTTTCATTAAGTGTGCCAAGTAGGCTCTTTACGTTCCGTAAAATACTTAAGCCTTGTCTCATCAAAGAGACTGCTGACACGGTGTGCGACTTAAATTATGATCCAGCTATAACATACCGTTAACGTCATGTCTTTCGGGTAGAAGATCAGTGCTTTAAAGTGGGACTGGTGGAATCCGCTAGAGCCATCGCGAACAGTTTGTCTAGTTATTTCAGGCATCAGACCTCGGTTAACTATATATGATGGTCGTTATATACAGTGCCAGTTTTCTGGTCTTCCCCTCTTATTGCATCGAAGACGATGTCAAGTCGAGATTGCTCATTTACTGTGGATTAAATCAACGCTTCCTCA